GGGCAGAACTCCTTGGCTATAGTAACATCTGGTCCAATAGGTAGTATTGGCCTCATTCTGACAAGAGCATGTCATACTTTAATAGTATCTTGGATCTAGGGGTGGCTGGCCAATAAAGTCAGTGGAACATCCGATTCTTGATTTTGGCTCAGGTCATGATCTCAGGGTTGTAGGATTGAGCCCTGCACCAGGCTCTGTGCTCAGCAGGGAGTCTGCTGGAGACTCTCTCTCCCTTTCCCTCTGCCCCTCTCCTCATTCTGTCTCTCTCAATATAAATAAATAAATAAATCTTAAAAAAAAAAGTCTCTTGTATCTAGTAAGAATAAATCTACCTTGTTCTCATGTTTTTAGAAAGTCTCTTGTATCTAGTAAGAATAAATCTACCTTGTTCTCATGTTTTTAGACAGGAAACAGTAATTTGCAGTCCAGGTGCTATGAAGAAGACTGCTTCTTAAAAAACTAAGAATGCTCTTTAAATATTTTTCCCCCGTTCTTCTTTTAAAAACAACCTGCCATTCCCCAACTAGAGTAACATGGAAGCAACATACACTTAATATGGAAGAACACAACTCACTCTCAAACTTATCATTGTAGTTGAACAGCAATTTGACTGTTTAAAATATGCTAACTCCTTAAGATACAATCTACAGTTCCTGTCTAAACCATTTTTTTAGACTTAATTGGCATGTGGACATTGATTCTTTTTTTTTTCTTTCAATTTTATATTTTCAGTGTTCCAAGATTCATTGTTTATGCACCACACCCAGTGCTCCATGCAATATGTGCCCTCCTTAATACCCACCACCAGGCTCACCCAAGCCCTGCCCCCCTCCCCTCCAAAACCCTCAGTTTGTTTCTCAGAGTCCACAGTCTCTCATGGATCATCTCCTCCTCCTATTTCCCCCAATTCACTTTTCCTTTCCTTCTTCTAATGTCTTCTGTGTTATTCCTTATGCTCCACAAGTAAGTGAAACCATATGATAATTGACTCTCTCTGCTTGACTTATTTCACTCAGCATCATCTCTTCCAGTCCTGTCCATGTTGATACAAAGTTGGGTATTCATCCTTTCTGATGGAGGCATCATACTCCATAGTGTATGTGGACCACATCTTCCTTATCCATTCGTCCGCTGAAGGGCATCTTGGTTCTTTCCACAGTTTGGCGACCGTGGCCATTGCTGCTATAAACATTGGGGTACAGATGGCCCTTCTTTTCACTCCATCTGTATCTTTGGGGTAAATACCCAGGAGTGCAATTGCAGGGTCATAGGGAAGCTCTATTTTTAGACTTAATGGGCATGTGGACATTGATTCTATGTAACATTTATTTCCTAAATAATGGGTGAAAACAGATAATGCAAATATCTAAAACAGGTAATATAAAATTCACAAAATGAAGTATCTGAAGTGTTTCAACTAACACGTTTCAGGTAAAAAATGTACACATCGATTAACATAAATCATCAAGTTTAATATGAGACTACAGAAAATTTCATTAGAATTTATCAAGGATAAAATGTTAGTTTTAATTTCATACTCTATTTCTGAATTGGCCTCTTAAGGCTGTGTTTGGGGGCATTTTAAGATATGTTACAAGTGCAGGCACCTGGGTGGTTCAGTCACTTAAGTACCTGACTCTTGATAGCAGCTCAGGTCATGATCTAAGGGTCGTGAGTTCAGGTCCCACCTTGGGCTCCACTTTAGGCATGGAGCCTACTTTAAAAAAAAACACAACATTTTACAAGTAGACAAATTTTTTAAATGAGTCATAGTTCAAATCTTTCCTAAGTTAGAATTGATAGAAAGGTATCTCTTAAATAGCTTTTCCTAAAATTCACAAGAAAAGAGCTAACAGATCCCCAACGAAGTGAGAGAGAGAGAGTAATGTGCACTCATCTAAAACACTCATGACACGGAATCCTTTTGGGCGGGGTAGAGGTAGGCAAAAATGTAAAAGGCCCAAAGCAGTATCATGTACAGAATTATTTTCTCCGCTTTCCAAATTAAAGCTACAGGCTATGATAGATAGGTGCTTATGCTGTTTTCCTATAAATACAGGAAGAAACTTGTTTGTTATGATCTTAATCAGGCATCTATCAAAACAGAATAAAATCCTTAAACCCCGGAAAACCCTAAGACTGTAACCTCTTACAGGATGATAACTACTATGTTTAGATACCAACGTCTTCTGGTGTTATTCCATTCGTTCAGTAGATCTTATCCAGTCTGTCATGGACTGATCAAGTTACGTTCCCAACTGTCTTAGGAGTTCTGGAAGGTAGTTCGAGTAAATACACAGTGGCATGAGACTAACGGGTAACCCTACTGAATACAGTGAAACATGGTCATCACAACGACACTTCCGGCCTCTACTTCCACCTCCCCTTGTGCCAAAGGTTTGAGTCCAAAGGACCTCGCAGTACCTGCAAAACTTCATGCACTCCTCGCCCCCAAGCCTCGATTTGTGCTGCCTGCTGTACCTGGACTGCTCTCTTCTCTCTCTCGTTTTTTCTAAAAATCCTATTTCTTCACACTCTTTTTGTTCTCCCCCAAAGAATATTAGAATTTTCTATTATTTTCAACCTGGTATTTACCCTAGCCCTCCATTCAGTTTGTACTTCTGCCCCTGCTCCATGTAGCACGGCTCCACGCTTATACCACACGATGGAAAACGATCTCTAAACGTGTTTCAACAACTGGTCCCGTCACCGTGATCCCAAATGCTTCTCTTTACGCCCTTTTGTTTGCTATTCTACAGACTGTTGGCAGGTAGCATACAGGTAGAGCTAGGATATAAAAAAATGGTCAATGAAGCGAACAAAAATACCTGTGGCACACACATATTTCCAAAATAAACTAGTGCAATACAAGATGGAGACAACGCCAATGTTTTGATAGATCAGAAGGTTATTCTAGCCATTAACCAATTACAAAATCACATAGAAAATAATTGTCAGAAAAATTATAACTTTGATTTTAAACAAAAATTTATTGAAGCAGGTCTGGTTCATGTACTACAGACTTTAAATTATAATATTTCCCAAAGGAACATGAGTAAGGGCTATCTTGGGAAGCAGTGCAGGCTAACACATGTGTGTGCATTTACTCATGCAGTTGGAAAACTGCTTCTAACACATTAACGAATTTTACACTTAACCCAGGTTCAAACTACTAAACAATACAATGTTAAAAATTGTACTTAAAAAAAAATATATATATATATATATAAATCTGTATACATATTGCAAACTACAGCCCACAGGCCAAATCTGACCTACCATCTGCCTTTGTATAGTTTGTAAGGTATGAGTGGTTTCTACATTTTTAAATGTTTCGAAGGAGAGAGGGAAATAAAAAGAGGAATTTGTGACACATGAATATGATGTGAAATTCAAATTTCAGTGTCCATAAATAGAGTTTTATTAGGACACAGGTATGCTCCTTCACTACTGTATTATCAATGGCTGGTTTTCACTGCCATATCAGAGTTGAGAAGTTGAGACAGAAACCATATGGTCTAAAAAGCCTCAAGTGTCTTCTGTCTGGCTCTTTACAAAAAGTTTCCTAGTTTGCTCACTCTTAGTAGAGATCATTCTCCCTCATAATGAGCGTAAGTTAAGCTTTCCTGGCATGTAGTGGAACACAGCGGCTAAAGGCATGCGTTTGTTGACTAAGAGAAGTAGCTAAGTCCCAGCTCTGTTACTGGCTGCTAGGTGACTTTGGGTGAATTAATTAAATTCTCTAAGTTTTAACTGTCTCGGGAATAAAATAGGATAATAATTCTACTCACCTTCTGGGTTTGGGGAGAATTAAATATACAACACACAAGAAAATTACCCCATGCATAATGGTAGTTATGCTGCCAAAAAGATATGCCTAAAATGTAAGGATGCAGGAAAGTTGAAACTAAAAAGATGGTAAAAGATATACTTGAAAAATATGAGCCAAAAGAAAACTTGGGTAGCTATATTAATGTTGAAAAAACAGACCTCAAAACAGAAAGCATCGTTAAGGAGAGCAAGGTTTATTATATGGTATAAAAAGTTTCAGCTTATGAGGAAAACACTAAAAAGTCTAAAGAATTTTATATGAAAACGTATCACATATAAAGCAAAAATCTATAGAAGTACAATAAGAAATTGATAAATCTAACACTAAAGTGGGAGATTTCCAGGAACATCTATCTCTCATTTAGGTCAAGCAATCAGAAATTTAGTAAAGACACAGAAGATTCAGACAACAACATAAAATGATTACTGAGAACGCAACAGTGCCCCACCCTCCAAAAAGAAGAAGAAAGTGAGACTACATGAGTAAGTAAGACTACATGAAATATTATTAAAATTGAACACGTATTGGAACATGAAGAAAGTTCTAAGAGGTTTCAAAGAGCTGTATCACAGAGAATACATTTGCTGCCAGAACCCATTAAGTTCCTCCTACCAATGCGTGTTGTGTATCTGAACAAATGTAACACAAGGATACATGAAAAATGTGAATAGGATTCTGAATCAGGAAAGAAATTGAAGCGTGGTTTAAAAAAATTCTTCAGACGTCATGCCCAAATATTTTAAGGCATTTTTATCAAACTTTTGAGGAGGAGTTAATCTTACCATTCTACAGATTCAACCGGAAAACAGAAAAAAAAAAGTAATATTCTGCAGCATATTCCAGAAAGCCAGTATAACCTTGTCACAAAATTGCATGTGTAATCACGTGTAATTACATGTGATAATGACACGTATAGTACACGGAGGTGGTGTGGTTCTACTTTCCCTCCTCTCCCCTTCCGGCTGACTGGAATGTGGACATGACTGGGGCTTCAGTAGCCACCATGGACCTTAACGTGAAGCCACATGTCAACGACATGTAGCGACAATAGAAGCTGGACTGCAGGAAGGTGATGAAGCTTCCACAGCAGCGACAGTAACAGCTCCACATTATGTGTACCTCATACAAAGACATACATTCACACTGATACCTATGTGCCTATGTATACTGTTACTTTGTTTTTGTTATTATTTGAAGTCTAAACTCTCCCTATGGATACACAACCTAAGATAGAAATCAGCTTCCATAGCATTTTCCTTAGAAATATAACATCACACAAGTATCTTCTGAAGTTATTCTTTCCAAATACATGCAGAAATCTTCCTGACAAGTATTTGGTAAGTGAAATGGACAATCTCTGGATCCTTCTGAAGATGCGAGGGCACAGAAGTGACATATGTGAGGTCTATGTTGCAGATCACTCACCCTGGCAAAGTACATGGGAGACCGATTCGAGAGGCTCCCAGTGGAGCCAAGGAAGAAAGCTGGTTGATGCAGGACAATGAAGTAGGTCTGGGCAGAGGCTCCAATGCTACCCTCAAATCTCTCTTCCACGCACTTCCATGGAGAAGAGGATGCTTTGGGCATATTTCTATGAGGCACACATTTGGCAAAGTTGATAAGTGGTTTGGCTAGGACTGCATGAGGGAGAAAAAGGAGTAAGGAAGCTTCTTCCTTTTCTAGCATGCAAGGCAGAGTACACCTTCTAAGACAGAAACATATGAAAAGGAGCAAGTTTCAGGGGGCAGTTGATAGATTCACTGTTGAAATGTTGAGATTTTAGATACAATGGGACTTCCAATGGTTACTATGAAAACAAATCTGGTTCACGGGTGAGGACTGAGCTCTATCTAAACACAGTGAAGATGAGACCCTAAGATTCATCCATTCATATTTACTGAGTGTGACTAAATGGTAGGTCCAATCCTTGTTCAGGGACTCCCAATGAGAAAGACAAGTCCCTGCTCTTACAGACCTCAAAGACTCTGGTGACAAAAGCACAGAGTTGAACAGAATCTTGTGTTTGGTGCAAATAACACAAAATGCAACAGGAACACATGGAAGAGGTTTATCACTCCAGGGCAGATGTGAAGAAAAAGACTTCTTGAAAGACATCATGCTCAGAAATGAAGGATGAGTACTACGCATCACACGAAAACAGAGCTGGGCTCTTCATGTTTGAGGCTGAGGGAATGCCAAGTGCACAGCGACAAGGCAAGCCAAAAGCATCTAATGCACTCAGAATCTAGAAAAGGCCATTTTCACTGGGGCTGGGTGTTCCAGAAGATGCAGATGACCTAACAAGCTGGGAGAAGTAATCAGGAGATGGGCTGGGCAGCACCTTTTAAGGAATGTGGACGTTAGAGGAAGGGTAATGTCAGGTAATGTCATGAGATCATTCTAATCAGGAGTGGGCCATGGGCAACATGCAACATGAGGACAGACCTGGGGGGGGAATGCCAGCATTTTAAGAGAAGTCAGAGTAAGGGAAGTCTATGGAGGAAATGAACCTCAAGAAACCACAAATTTATGCCTGTTTGTGTTTTCATCAATTTAGCATTTATACTCAGATATATCCCTGTATTAAAAAGTAGTACGTCTTGGGGACACCTGGGTGGCTCAGTAGGTTAAAGCCTCTGTCTTCGGCTCAGGTCATGATCCCAGGGTTCTGGGATTGAGCCCCTCATCAGGCTCTCTGCTCAGCAGGGAGCCTGCTTCCCCCTCTCTCTGCCTGCTTCTCTGCCTACTTGTGATCTCTCTGTCAAATAAATAAAATCTTTAAAAAAAAAGGTGTAGGTCATACAATCTAAAATATTAACCAAATATATTAGATTAAGGATTAATGATATTAAAATGATAAATATTTATTGGCATTTAAGCATCAACTGCTAAGGTATTAGCACAGTAATAATGCTGCTGACAATAATAATAATGAGTAATAGAGCACCTGAAACATACAGACTTCGTTATGTGCCAGGAACTGTGTGAGCACTTTACATACAACTCTTGGTGACCGGGATGATCACAGACATCCAGCGATTTTAGGAAACCTACGCAAGGTCAGACGTGTAATCAGCGGTACAGCTGCGATCTGAAGCCAGTCACTTTCTGTTGTGTGCCACTGTCCTCCATGGACAGCTTCTGGGTTACAGGAGTGAAATAATGCTAGAACTACTCTTTGGACAGGCAAAAGACTGGCAGACCTGCCATAGCCTCAACTTACATCTAACGACTACTTTTCACCATAACAAATAGTATCCTTCCATAGCCCTGATACCACATGTTATAACGTGGTGATAAGCTACAGGGCACATCACTTCAGTGAACCTTACCTCTGACAGAAGTTTAGCACTACAAGGATTTAAACTTGATTGTGCATTGTCATTACATACACAGTTGTTCCATTTTTATAAGAGAAGGAACAGTTCATAGAAACAATATACATTATCTTGAGGCAATCTGTTCAGTCAGAGGTCGAAAAGAAAGACCTTCCCCCATATTTTCAGATAAGCAACTTTTTCTTTTTTTTAAATGAAGTTGTCAGAAAATTACAAGTCATTTGCAAACTTACTGCTTTAGAAAGGTGTGGGTCACTGTAAAGATGGAGCCAGTGAGAAATCCTTGCCATCTGTTTTTTTAGGGTAAGAAAATTGTTCATATATTACATCCACATTTCGCCAATCTAAGGATCCTCAAGGAGCATGTCTGTCTCCCTCTGGCCCCCGCAGTCCTCAGGCCTGACTCAGTAACTCAACTGACAGGTTGTGTCTATGCTCAGGACTCTATCACGACAACATTTTCTAAGCAAATTTAATGTTTCAATAAAAGCATTAATATGGGTCCCCATGGGGGGGGTGGAGAGAATTTGGATGGACTCCCATATAACAGTTAGTAATTTGTTTGAATTTTGAATTTCAAGGGGGGGGAGAGCACAATCACCTTTCCAGTGAGGAGGATCCCCAAAGGTCTTACCAAGATCTGCTCTGCTCTTCCATTCAGACCGAACACCAACAACGGGTAGCAAATGGGAAAGGAAGGACATCTAGACAGGGGCTGTGTCACCGAGCCAACAATGTGTCTAGTGCCTCCCAGCAGACAACTGCATGGACCTGGCAAAAACATTCATGGAAGGCTACATGTCTATTTTCCCTGCATTCCACTCAGGCCTCTTTAACCTTCCACATGAATGTCTAGAAGACTGCTGGTACACAAAAGCAACCGCAGGCTTCTGTCCTTCTCCAGACCTTCTCTAATCTGTTCACACTGCTTACTTTTCTGCTCCTTGCTGACCCCTCCTCAGACAACCCTCCTTGTAGCTTTACTTCATTGTTCTTTGATAATCCCCTTGTCTGGCAGTGTGGCTCTGATTCATTCTCCTTGTAGATTTGAGGATATGACTTCTAGCATTTGCCCTCAACCTCTCCTTTCTGTAACCAGGGAAAGCAGGAGGTAATAGGCATGTGCCTCCCTCTGCCTCCTCTAACCAGGGAAAAGGGATTGGACACATAACCCTCTTAATGAGAACACCCACCCATAAGCCTTCATCCCATCCACTTGCCCCTTACCCCACTGCTCCCCTTCATAACCCATGGTGGAAACAGCCTATGGAATCTGGGTTAATGAGGTCAGAGAATAAACACTGCAGTTGACACTAAGAGATGCTGTGAAGGGAGCAGGGCCGTTTTGCCAGCTTCTGATTACTTTTTCTCCCTCAATTACAAGCCACAATCTCTATAGGAAGCTCTATTGCTATTTTTATACAGGTTTTTTTTTTTCTTTGCTTTCCCACTGGCCAGGTTCCAGCAGGAAGGCAGTGATACATGCTTGAAAGATACAGTTAAGTGTTGTTCTCCTCCTGGTAGAATGGGTGATCCTCACACTTCGCAACTGGCAACAAGTATTTGCCATTGTCAGCCGGACTATAAATGTGAGGAAAATCAGTAACCAAAAGTATTGGGATGAGCTCTAAAAACAGTCTAAATCCTAATGAGTTCACTATAAACACAGATAATTGCCCAAGGTTCATCACGGGACATTTATAGAAAGGGAATCATCTTCACCTGCGTGGGGGTTTTAGACGTAAAAGTTCTTCGCCCGTGGGGTTAGGAAACAAATGGAAAATGGGGCTTAATATACCAAGAATTAAACATAAATTTTTTTTAATCCCTTCTTGGATGGCACCTAGTTAGGAACTGAAAGATTCTTACTTCTCCTGAATCCATACATCAATTATCTGTTTTGCGACTGTGATTCTAATTTTGTTTTTATTTTTATTATTATTTTTTTAAGATTTTATTTATTTATTTGACAGACAGAGATCACAAGTAGGCAGAGGCAGGCAGAGAGAGAGAGGAGGAAGCAGGCTCCCTGCTGAGCAGAGAGCCCTATGCGGGGCTTGATCCCAGGACTCTGGGATCACGACCTGAGCCGAAGGCAGAGGCTTTAACCCACTGAGCCACCCAGGCGCCCCTATTTTTTTTTTTTTGAAAGAGAGAGATCACAAGTAGGCAGAAGAGGCAGACAGAGAGGAAGGGGGAAGCAGGCCCCTCAGCCGAGCAGAGAGCCCGATGCGGGGCTCGATCCCAGAACCCTGAGATCATGACCCGAGCTGAAAGCAGAGGCTTAACCCACTGAGCCACCCAGGCACCCCCCTAATTTTGTTTTTAATAAGAAAAATGGACCATAAGCATTTTAAGTGGCACAATTAATGGCAGACGTGTGCTGGCGTGACATTAGCACATATGGGAACTGGAGACTGGAGATGGGTGCTTGTAAGCAACACTCCACACTGATCATTCCTCTGAGTGGTGTCGAGCCCAGATGACAGGTGTCCAGTCACCCCTGAAAATCTTCCCCAACTCACACCTCTCTGAAAGGAATTTCAAAGAGGGAGCAGAACCAGTAATACTGTTTTGATGTGAACTGAAGTCGTTATGCCATATTCCTTGGAGGTATCTGCTCCCCTACATTATTTCTGGCTGTGAGTTTACCACCAAGTCCGTAACTGGTAATGACTGGCAGAGGGCTGAGGCTCCCAGTTTCCTGGAATCATGCTGCCTATCCCAATTAGTTTCCTAGAGCAGGAAGTGAAGGAGGCAAAAAGTAAAAGAACAACAATATGAGAAGAAATACAGAACTGGAGTTGAGAACCCAAAGGGAAGAGAGGAGAGTTCTCTGGAGCATTTCATTCAGGCTTATTTACTGGGAAGTAAGAGAAGTATCACTGAAGGGGATTTTATGCCTCTTCATTTGTTCCCCTTTTTGTTATGTAGATCTTGACTTTTTGCAAAAGGATTTAAGGTCATTTATAAAAAAAAGGGAATGTATGCAGCAAAACCCAAAAAGTAAAAATGAAACAGCAAGATCCCTGCCCTCCCCACACAAAGGTGTCTTTCATCTGCCTTCCCTCCTTGTTCAGCACAGGGGAGCTGCACACATACATTATGCCAGCCCCCAACGCTGTTTCCTAGGTTTTTCAAAGTATGTTATGCTATGTGTAGAATATATTTTTGTAAAAATGAAAAAAAAAAAAGCTAAAAAAAAAAAGGGGGGGGGGGCAAAGGAAATAAGCCAAAGCAAACCAAAGTTAAGTTTTCTACTCTATGCCTTGCCAAATATATCTCTCCTAGGGAAAATTTACATAATGTTATAATATTATTTCAGATACTGAATACAAGATATTCAGCAACCTGTGAAATAACACTGCTAGGCTGGAAAGCACTGATGTGATAAAATATTGAACATTAAGCATTAAAGAGAAGGAAGAGAAAGTAAAACATGGTCAGTGCCAGCCACTGGTTACTCTGGATGTGAGACCACAATGGCTGGCTTTCATTATCAGTTCTCTGGAAAACACTGACAGGGATCATTAGAATTTTTAAAATGTTAGGTTTATGTCTCCTCAACTCTCTGTTGATCATAAATACACCTTGAGACCAGTGGTGTTGGGAATGGCCAAAAATGCATCATAAGTATAGACAATTCTGGGCAAGAGACACAAGTAAAAAATATTTTCCTTTGAAAAGATCCATTTCAAACGGGAAAATAACCGCTGCTTATAGTACTTAAATTAACGTCTTTTTCACTGAAGGAAAATGACTTCCCTTTAAGTAGATTTGAAAAGATTTTCAAGGTTTCATACTACCAAAAATGCAGATTATTTAAAAATGCTATAAATATTTAGCTTAATTATATTCAAATCAAGAATGCTATTTTTCAGGCTCCTCCACATTTTTTCATGATAAGAAAACTGCATTTAATTCAAGGACCACCCCATAGGAGAATTTTTCATTTTGACTAGTCTATGAACTCTGAGACACTAAAATATGGTATTATCAAAAATAAAACAAAATATGGTATCATTAATAAAATATGAATTAAATGATTAGTTATTATAGCACTAAAATTATTTGATACCAAATGTCAAGGACTTCACTTGATGAATTCATTAGTCCATTTCATGGTTATGGTATGCTTATCAGGGGTTACTATGCTACATACAAAAGGTAAGATATAATAATTACTGGCAAAAGACCTATTTCTGGGAGAAGAAAAGATATGTAAATGTATACACAATGCAATGTGAAAACTACTATAAAAAGGATCTGTACAGAATGTTCTAAGTTCTTTTCCTACATGAGTCAAGAAAAGATTTAGATGTTTCACTCAAAGTGCAATCTATTATTCCAAATGAACTCGTTGTTTAGATACACTGTGTTGTCCCATACAGTAGCCATTAGGCAAATGTGGCTACTTAAATTAACCAATTAAAATTAAAATTTAAAATTCAGATCCTCAGGTTCATAAGTCACATTTTAAGCACTCATTAGTCTTAAATTTATCAGCTCAAAAATCTTACTGAAGTTTTGTTCCAAATTAAAATTGTAAAAACATTAAACTATGTATCAAAGGCAAGCTCCTGGCTGTGAGGTAGAATCCTGTGTACTCTTTCCTAATGAAGCCATACCAAGTGAGTTAACTTACTTTCAGTACTGTCCTGCTTGTCCACTGCATCTTAATACCTATCAAAGTGCCCGATAAAGAAAAACTGAGCAAAAAATTTTTACTGAATGACAATGGATAAACTAAATGAATAAATGAATGAACACTTTTGTTTTCTTCTTTGAGAGGCAGTCAAATGAAAAGAAGCAGGGAGTCACCTGGTACAGAGACTGCTGATGCCGCCTACTATCTTTCTCGGATGCCGCCTACTACCACCATTTCCAGGTTAGGAATAGACTATTGAGAATATAAAATTAAAAAAAAAAAAAAAACCTTATAAAAGGATGAATGGGCTTTAGAGACAATGAGTTTAACTTTCCGCCTTCTCTGTATTTCTGTCTTCCTAGAAGATGTAGACAAAAATATGGGTAGGTTCACGCAGCTCCTGAACAGCAGAACACAACTTGAATATAAGTCTTACAAGAGGAAAGAAAGCATCCTTCTTTTTACTGACCGAGAATCAACATGAAAACATTAAGTTATGACAGAGTGAGGCTCTTGTGTTTTATGAGATCGTTGTATCACTACGGAGATTAAGATTTCAGAAGTAATTGAGGAGATCAATGAAAATACATATTCCAAAATAAGGATTTCTGATGCATCAGAAGGCATTTTCACTCAAGTTGGTGAAGAAATTCAGGGTCCTATTAAGGCAGTTACTTGTAACATGTAAAGTGCTTAAATAGTTTATGGTAACAAGATCAGAGAAAAGCACCAAAATCTTATTTCTTTACACTTGGTTTTGAACATTAAAAAAATTCTTATCTTTAATGTCGATAAGTGCTTTTTCCTGCATGATATGAAAATATGGGTGATTCTTAGCCAACTATGTTTATGACAGAAAGCAATCATGTTCACAACTGAAGTTCATGCCAAAGTTGGTGACAGTGACACAAAATCTTAAGCCCAGTAAATAAGAGGAAATAAATTGGTCTTGTGATCCTAAACTTATAAAATAAGCACAACAGTTTCAAAGGGAGAAAAAATTGTTACTGTCTTTTTTGAATACTTAATTAAGACCAAGAATATTGGGAAACAGCATCATGCCATGGTAGGGTGAACAATCTCAACATTCAGGGAAAGCCACACATTCCCAAATCTAAAATAAGTCAGTCACCGTGATGAAAAGTACAGCTTAGGGAGTAGAGTCAACATTGTAATAACATTGTCTGGTGACAGATGGTGACTACACTTATCGTGGTGAACACTCAGCAATGCACAGAACTGTTGAATCACTACGTTGTACACCTGAAACTCATATAACATTGTATGTCAAATACACTTCAGGAAAAAACAACTTAAATAGCCATCTTCCTGATATTTTGTCATTCATGCAATTACCACTCGGTAGAAAGGTGTCTCTTTTGCAAATGGCTTGGGTCACTATAACAGAAGGCCATACAAAGGACTAGCTGTTCATCCTGCAGCAACTACTGGAGAAAATTAGAAAATTTGAGAGAGTGACTTGCACCAACTGGTTAAAAACTGGACAGTTATGAGGTACCTGGCTGGCTCAGCTGGTTAAATGCCCAACTCTTTATTTCAGCTCAGGTCATGATTTTAGGGTCTTGAGAATGAGGCCCAGTATCTGCACTCAGCAAGGAGTCTCCTTGAGATTCTCCCACTCCCTCTTCCTTTGCCCCTCCCCCCTTGTGTAATTTCTAAATAAATAAGTAAAATCTTAAAAAAAGAACTGTAAAACACAACAGGACAGTTACACTCCAGGGAGACAACAATGAAAAAGCAGGCTTTGTGCAGCAAGCCAGTAAGTAAGTTAAAGATGACAAGATGCCATATTAGAAGAAACAGTGCTTGTACCATGAAGGACTTAAACACTAAAATTAGCCAGAAAAAGATACTTTAAATAATGAAGTATGTATATTTATACTAGACAGACCCCTGGAATGAGGTGATGGGACGTGGCTCAGGGTTGGAGCATCTGATGTGCTATGCAAGAGTGAGGATCCTGGAAAGTACCAACTAGTACAAAAGCAAGGCACCACTTTTAATCTCTGTTTGTAGGGAGGCTAACACATGAATGCCTACACCATTCTCCTTGCCGGAGACTGATTTACTCAGGCACAGAGGCAGAAAGCAAGACAGAGGTCCCACCCATATTTCTGTGAGATCAAGACATCATAAAATAAGGATTTTCTGCCCAAAGTTGTGAACTGGGCTGTGTCATTAAAAACCATCTTATCCAGATCCCAGTATATATTTCCTGGCATTATGATTCAATCTTTTAACACGTTAAGTTAACTTAATGAAGTATAATTTTTTTTTTTTGCATTTGACATTCATATTTTACAACTGATAAACCTACATCAGCACATTATTATCACCTAAAGTCCATGGCTTACACTAGGCTTCACTCTTGGTTTTGGACATTCCATGTATTTGAGCAAATGTATAATGACGTGTCTACCATTACAGAATCGTAGTGAACAGTTTCACTGCCTGAAAATCCTCTATGCTCCATCTACTCATCCCTCCTTCCCCTTAACCTATGGCAAAGACTAATCTTTTTCCTATCTTCATAGTTTTGCCTTTTCCAACAGTTGGAATCATACAGCATGTATTCTTTTCAGATGGGCTTCCTTCACTTAGCAGGAAGATGTATTTAAGGTCCCTCCATGTTTTTTTATGCACTGATTGCTCATGTCCTTTTAGCTCCAAACAATATTCCACTATTTGGATGAACCACAGTTTATCCATTCACCTACTGAAGGGCATTTTGGTTGCTTTCCAATTTTGGCAATTATGAATAAAGCTGCTCTAAACAACTGTGTGTGGGTTTTTTTGTGTGGACATAATTTTTCACCTCCGGTTAGTAAGATACCAAGAAGCGGGACTGTTGGATCACATGGCAAGAGCGTAGTTTTGTAAGAAACTGCCAAACTGTCTTCCAAAGCGGCTGTACCATTTTGCATTCCCGCCAACAATGAATGAGAGCTCCTCTTGCTCCACATCCTCATCATCATTTGGTGCTGTCAGTGATCTGGATTTTGGCCATTCTGATAGATATGTAGTGGTATCTCATTGTTGTTTTCAGTTGTATTATGATTCAATTATCAGTGTCCTCCTGCTTAAGGATTTTTCCAAAAGTTAGAAATGTACAGAATGATCATTTCTCCAACCTAGAATATATTCTGCAGAATGCTTTGGATAATTAGCTATTGGAAAATGTTATCATGAGATACGGGTGGGTTCCCTTATTTCCAAATGAGAATTACTGCTTGCTGCAACCATGCAAAAAACCAAAAAAACAAAAAACAAAAAAACCCCCAAAAACACTGATATTAAATTTTCTGAATGTGTTACAGAAAGGGAAATTTACCAAGAATGCTAATATAAGCAATGTACTAAGACCACCACTGTGACATCTTATATGATATATACCATCTCTGAGTATAGGAAATTATGTTTGGACTTTTGAAGGTAATCATATTTTCAAGACTTATCCTGCTTCTTTATTGTCTCATATTTATTATCTTACAAACTTTGCAGATAGAATTCTATTCAAGGATATTCTTAAAATGTTGCCAGTTTCAATTATTCCAACTTCTGATAAAAAATCAAAGTCTTTAAGGAAAAAGGATTGAAGACAAAACCCCACAGGGGTTTTCTTGCTGTTTAAATTGTAATGTAATATGTTGCTACCATTCTAGTCACTAAATTAAAAGAAAGAGAAGAAAAGAAAAAAAGAATGAATATGGGAACTTCTTAAGTTATGTCTCATACTGTAAAGTCAAAGCATCTCAAACAGGCCCACAAATGAATGGACTGTTAATAATCCAACATTCTTCACCCCGTTTTTCCAATGCATGAGTTGTACACTGTCACTTACTAATCTCCTCAGCCTGATGAAGTAAAGGTTGTCAGCACACAAGCCTTCCCACTAAATCTGTACTGCACTGACACGAGGCTTCAAGTACTCAAGGTTACATTTCAACACGACACCTGAAACTAATGATG